TTAAACTAAGATCCCTGCTGGCAGCCATCTTGGATGATTAATTGACCACAAAGTAACAACACTTGGCCAGCACCTCATTAGGAACATTCATGCCATGTTTGGTTTCATTCCATTCAGTGGTTCTCTAAAAGAAAACATTTGTATGTATTTCCCATAATGTCTTCTGTTAAACTAATTCCCCGCTGGCGGCAATCTTCTTGGATGATGGATTGCCTACAAAGTTACAACACTTGGTCAGCACCTCATAAGGAACATTCCTGTCATGTTTTATTTCATTCCATTCAGTGGTTCTCTATAAGAATACAATCTTATGTATTTCCAATAGGGTCCTATGTTAAACCAAGTCCCTCTGTGGCGGCCATCTTGGATGACGGACCGGCTTCAAAGTAACAACACTTGGTCAGCACCTCATAAGGAACATTCATGCCATGTTTGGTTTCATTTCATTCAGTGGTTCTCTAAAAGAAGACATTTGTATGTATTGTCGATAGGGTCCTATGTTAAACGAAGTTCCCCGCTGGCGGCCATCTTGGACGATGGATCGGCTACAAAGTAACAACACTTGGTCAGCAATTCATAAGGAACAGTCATGCCATGTTTGGTTCCATTCCATTCAGTGGTTCTGTAGAAGAAGTTCAAAATGTTAAAAGTTAACGACGACGACGACGGACGACGGAAGACGACGGAAGACGACGGACGACGGACGCCAAGTGATGAGAAAAGCTCATTTGGCCCTTTGGGCAAGGTGAGCTAATTATTGTTACTTCCGAGACTAATTGCCGAAATGTATTTCCGTTGAGGGACCCAATTGCATTTTAAAATACAATATTAAATGTTACCTGCAGTTATTGAAAACTGCAAGTTTTTACATTTGCAAATAACGTCTTTTTTTACCCACACCTGTCGGCCTTAGACATGTACACATGAATATGAGAAATATACGAACTTATATTGTATAAAAAGTCTGAACTTTTGAACTTAACGAACCCTTTTACAGTTCATGGGTTTTAACTTCGTAAAATAGGTAGCTTTTATGATATAAAAATAACTATCTTCCCGAAAAACTACGAATAATTATACATATATAATGCTCTGAATGACTAAAATAGTTACTTATAAACCTAATTACTAAAAGTTCGAGCTTCTACACGAGCTAATTCCAACTTCAGAATTAACGGTAAAAATCAGTTTTTATAGTGATTAAGATGATAACACAATGTTGACTGCTGTACCCGTATTTTTGACATTTTTAGCTATTGTGTCTGTTTGTTTTGTTCACAGATCGTTGTCAATATAATGGAATTTGATGCGACTGTCATACAAGTGAGAGGTTTAGCTAGCTATAAAACCAGGTTCAATCCACCATTTTCTACATAAGAAAATGCCTGTACCAAGTCAGGAATATGACAGTTGTTATCCATTCGTTTGATGTGTTCGAGCTTTTGATTTTGCCACTTGATTAGGGACTTTCCTTTTTGAATTTTACTCGGAGTTCAGTTATTTCGTGATTTTACTTTTTGATAATAAAATCAATAAAAACTTAAGGACTTTGAACAAATATGGACAAAACACCTTGTAATCATTGACAGGAGATACAAATAAACACAGGTATGAATTCTGAGAAAATTCTGTTAACTTTGAGGCAAGAAATTTAGTCAAATTCATATATATTACGAAAACTACATCGATAGCAAAACCACATCTGTCACAATATCTGAAAGTGTAATCTTGTTTTTACATCCTAATTTAATTGATTGAATTTATTTCACAAGTTGCTCGCAAATCAAATATTTTTGTTATATTTTGCGGGTAATAAAAACTGCAGGTAACAATAAAAAAATATATTATTGTTACCTACAATTTCCGTATGAAATTTGGTCCCTCACAGGAAATTCATCTCTGCAATTAGTCTCGGAAGTAAAAATAATTATAGTAACCGTAGCCAGTGCAAATAAAAAAAGGAAACATGCTAGAAAGACTTACTGCTCCTTACGCAGAAACTGCTGCAACAGAGTTATGAGGAGGAAAGATTAAAAATGACACTCCATAAATTTTATGTACACCATCACGAATTGGTTGATCTATACAATGTGTCTGTGTCTAAACTAACTAACGACATTTTTACCAAGTCTTAGATTGTGGTTTACCATCTACATCGTCTGTTCTTTTAAGTACCGAACGTGACCTATTCCCGAATATGACTGTTTTGCTGAGTGTGAATTCGTATTGCTATTAGACGTGTCGCGGTATTTAATTATGTTTGATTTGTTACCCAAGGATTATTTCGTAATAGATATGAATTTGACTCAATTCATTGAGTATGTACTGATTGATACTTTACTCTGGGATAATATAATTTTATTGGGTAAAGATTGGATGACATATAATCAAAACCGTATGTTACTGACTTGATATCAACATCTTCCAAGGCTGATCACTACCAACAAACAAAATAGTGCAGTGAAGTGATCAGTATTTAGATCCTATTCAGTCAATGTCATGCAATTTGTTGATGATATTTTGTACTTTGTTTGATATATAAGTTACAATATGATGTGTATTTGAATAAACATACTTGTCACGAAAACATTGTTTCAGCAAAAATACACAAGTAATGCATGGTGTGTGAATTACAGGGATGGGGTAATCGTAATCCGTAATCGTAATCGATTTTAATTGATTACATTTTTTCCAGTAATCGACAGTTATCTGTAATCGAAGACATTTTCGATTACATTTAATCGTGATTTGATCGATAGCAGCAAACATGTTGGTGTAATAATCAATTGGTAAAACAGTTTGATGAAATATAACCTATTTTACATGAAAAAATGTATGTTTTCATTACTTTATAGTACAGATAAAATAGAATGTGTTAATATGACTTAAAATAGTTCAACAAATCCTTATTTCTATCTATTTTTTCTATCTGCATTATGATCAACTAGATCTACCAAATTTTAATATATATCCAGCTTTTGAAACGATTGACTTTACTTGCTTGTCAATAATTTAAGACCTTTTATATTGAAATAAGAAAATGGATTTAAAATAAGAAATGATTCTTAAGTTAAGTTCTGCACTACATTGAAGTATTAAGCTTATGTGTATCAAAATTCCTCAAAGCATAATTTTCAATAAAAGTTGGAATTTTAGCTTAGAATAGATAAACAGTTGATAAACCATTATGTTATGATATAAAAATTAAGAAATTACACAAAATCCATCTGACAATGAACCAATGGCAAATACATTAAAATTCTTGTGCAGAAATAGATACATGTAACCCCAAACGGGAGGGATTGTGCTTGATTTTCATATGATGAAGACATAATCTTTCAATCAGTTTAATTGAGGTCGGAAGCTGGCATGTCAGTAACTGCTAGTAGTCCTTTGTTAATTTATATATCATTGTCATTTTGCTTAGTTTCTTTTGTTACCTATTCTGACATCGGACTCGGACTTCTTTTAAACTGAGTTTTACTGTGCGTATTGCTGTGTGTTTCTTTAATCTACATATGCTTGAGGTAAAGGGGGAGGGTTGAGATCTCACAAAACATGTTTAACCCCGCAGCATTTTTGCGCCTGTCCCAAGTAAGGAGCCTCTGGCCTTTGTAAGTCTTGTATAATTTTTAATTTTAGTTCATTTATATGTTTTGGAGTTTAGTATGGCGTCCATTTTCACTGAAGTAGTACACTTTGTTGTTTAGGTGCCAGCTGAAGTCCGCCTCCGGGTGTGGGATTTTCTCGCTGTGTTGAAGACCCATTGGTGGCCTTCGGCTGTTTGTTTTTTTACTCTTTGGTCGGGTTGTTGTCTCTTTGACACATTCCCCATTTCCATTCTCAATTTTATGTAACCCCTTTTTACACTACAAATATATACTGTTTATAATTTTGAATAGAGAATAAAAATTCTCAACAAACCTCTTGTCTTTACTAATAAGATTATCAAAGACTTCTAATCGATTAGATGTAGACTTTGTTTTGTTAATGTGCCATTAAGGAGGAGATTTTCATTATATTGTCCCAGGTTATAAAGTGTACTCCATTGCCAGTTTTATAACCTGTAATTGGGAAAGTTATCCAAACAAAAGGACTAATTCATGCACGCAATTATAAATCATGAATTTCCATCTTTAAAATTCGCTGTATTAATTCATGTAATTCATTCTTCTACTTTTTTATATTTTTTTCAGATGAAACTTCCAACATTGTAATGAACCATATTCAAATAAATATACCTATCAATAATGAGTAAACACAAAAAAAAAACCTTAACTTAAGTCAGTATATATGACATCAACAATTTTCAAAATAAGGAGAAAATAACCTGAAGTATAAAGAAGTAATTGATGCAAGGCGATGTCATTGCAAGAACTTTATCACCACTCACTCATGTTGAAAATCAAAATTTCAAGAATGTTCAAATATTTCAGATCCTCAGTACGAGCTTCCTTCTAGAAAACGACTGTCAAGATAAAATTTTGGAACATTTAACAAACGTTAAGCAACATAGTTGTGTTTAACATATTTATCATTTTTTCTATAATTTTGTAGCATCTAATTGACAGTAATCGAAAAGTAATGTTACTACCTTTGATAAAGTAATGATCGATTGCAATCGATTTCATTCAAAAATCAGAGTAATCGATTAATCGATTACACAAAAATCCTTCAAGTAATCGATTATTAAATCGATTATATGTGTCAGTAATCATGCTTATCTCTGATGAATTAGTTATTAAAATAGGTTTAACTACAAATGTACAATCACGAAGAAAGGAGGATAACTCCAACTCAAATTTTTAGCAAAATTTTACTTAATGTTTTATTCAAATTTACAAAATGGCAATATAAAAGCAATCTTTACCCTCAGTGCTCAGAAGCACTCGAATATTAGTAATACCTTACGGTCTATGGCTTTTCTGATATGTGTATACTGAAACTGAATTTGCTTTGTAGCTGATACTTTATACCACTATTATATTTATAAAATATAGGCTGTTTTACGACTAAGCGACAACACGCTGGAAGCAGATTGTAAAAAACTCAAATTACAAGAATTCAAGCCACGAGAAGTTGACGAATTACTGTGCGCTATTAACGCAAAACCAAGACTAACAGATATTGAAGAGAAACTGACCCATTTAACTGATGCATTCGAACACATGGCAAGTCAATTGGACAGTATAGCTAATATCGTGCAACCAGACATACATGGATTAAGATTCACCCCCTTGGGTGAGTATACTGCAAGACGTTTTGCAAAGCAATAGTATCAATATTTTATCACAATTTAGAAATACGTGTATGTAAAATGATGCTACCAACATTTTTGTTAGATTTTACTATTTTAATTTTGATTGACAAAATACACACATGGTGCAAAATTTGTACGGTCGAAGTTATAATCTTACTATGGTGTTGCCAACATGAGTTTTTTAGAATTTTATTGGTTAATCTATTTATTCAAAAAATTGTTACTTTAGATAAATAACTTTGTGTATAGTAACGAGAAATTTGTATATGTCAAAAGTTTCTTTTAAGAAATCATTCATGATATAGTGTTGTGAACAATGTATGCATAGTGTTGAAATTTCCTGTTACAAAATGTTTGAAATTATTTAAAATTAAGGAATATATCTCCCTCATGCAAAGCTCTGATTCCCTGCCCGGCTTTGGCTATACTTTTTTGTCCTTTTTGGCTTATAGCTCTTCATCTTTTTAATAAGCTTTGGATTTTCAAATATTTTGACCTCGAGCATCACTGAAGAGACATTGATTGTCGAATTGCGCATCTGGTGCAGAAAAATTGGTACCGTTTATGTTATTACTACCACTGGGTCGATGCCTCTGCTGGTGGACTGATAGTCCCCGAGGGTATCACCAGCCCAATAGCCAGTACTTCGGTACTGGCATGAAAATACGGATTTAGTGTTATTGAAATTTCCTGTTACAAAATGTTTGAAATTATTTAAAATTAAGGAATGTATCTCCCTCATGCAAAGCTCTGATTCCCTGCCCGGCTTTGGCTATACTTTTTTGTCCTTTTTGGCCTATATCTCTTCATCTTTTTAATAAGCTTTGGATTTTCAAATATTTTGACCTCGAGCATCGCTAAAGAGACATTGATTGTCGAAATTCGCATCTGGTGCAGAAAAATTGGTACCGTTTATGTTATTACTACCACTGGGTCGATGCCTCTGCTGGTGGACTGATAGTCCCCGAGGGTATCACCAGCCCAGTAGCCAGTACTTCGGTACTGGCATGAAAATACGGATTTAGTGTTATTGAAATTTCCTGTTACAAAATGTTTGAAATTATTTAAAATTAAGGAATGTATCTCCCTCATGCAAAGCTCTGATTCCCTGCCCGGCTTTGGCTATACTTTTTTGTCCTTTTTGGCCTATATCTCTTCATCTTTTTAATAAGCTTTGGATTTTCAAATATTTTGACCTCGAGCATCGCTAAAGAGACATTGATTGTCGAAATTCGCATCTGGTGCAGAAAAATTGGTATTGTTTATGTTATTGTCAAATATATTTCATTATTTCAAAATTAGTGTTAACGTCTGGGGATAGTGAAGATCGTTGTTTGTTAACACTCAGGTGATAAATATTGTATGCATCACTGATTATTCAAGATAGATTGGAATAGGACCACAACATTAGGGTATTGATAATATGAAGATCACACCAATACCTCTTTCATATATGTGTTGAAATTAGCTAATTTTGCATACTAGTATACATAAAAACGGACGATCATCAAAATGTTATTTTATTTTACTATGTTTTCTTTTCAAAATCAACTTGTTAATGATGATGAGACATAAAATTCATAATGCTAGTATTAAAAAAAGCTTGATGTTTAATACTTGTAGCTGATTTTGTTGAGAATTGTTTTTGCATAATATTGTCATCCATTCAGAAAATTTCTTTACATGAAAACTACAGTGGGGTAATAAATCTGGACAAGAAGGTAGGACATTACAAATTTTGAGGCTTAAATTTTTCTTTTGGGGTGATGTTCAAACGATGTCTTCCCAATTGTTCATTGTTTTAAAATTACATATGAAATATAATGAAATCATTTGGTACAATCGTAAAGATGTATGGTGGACAATTAGACATTTTCGAAAAGTCGTCTACAAAGACACTTACACCGACACCAATAACTACACTGACTACAAAAATAGAGGGACCGTATAAAAATGTCGAAGCATACTGAATGAATAACCTCGTAAAACTTGGTTGCACCAATAAAAAATATATTCTGTAATTTTCTTATATAGTTTTTTATTCGGAATCGGAACTAGAAACACCGAATTCACTCATTAGTTTTGGATTATTTTAAGTAATGAATTTGTGATATTCCCATCCCGTTGATTTTTTCAATTGTTACCGTTTGCAAGCATATAAACGGTATACAGTGTTAAGGTAGAATATACAGTTGGCGATTTCAATTGCTAGAAAGCACTGTGGATACATCCAATGAACAAATTATCTGCCATTATTGATATCTGTGCAGGTTTAGTAAATATCGTCGATGTCAGCTGTCCCCCTAAATAAGGTATCTTATTACTTATGAAGCAAGCATACATTAAATTTGTGTAAATCAACAGGTCTTGGGATTTGTAAGGAAAGTTTCGGTGACAAAAAAAAAAAATCAAAAAAAAAAATCAAAAACAAAACAAAAGGTAAATATTGACATAATTCACAAAAAACATTAAAATGAATAAAATATATTTAAGTTACATTTGACAAAGCGCAGCAACATTGGTTTTTGATCAAAACATTATCGGTTTTCTGTTTACATTTGTATTTCTTTCATTTTCTGATTTATTTTACTATGGATACTGCCGAAAGTTATAAAAAACGTGGAGGAATATTTTGTGCAGTTAATAGTTGTACACATAATCATAAAAAAAACTTCAGATGTGGAAAAAATCAATATGTGAATTACACAACGAGTTGCACAATGATTGTCCTAGTTTGATTCCATATACGTCTCATTTGATGCCTTCTTACGAGCCAACAAACTTGAGTGGATCAAAGCCGTATAAACAGAAAAAAAACTTTGCATGAACAGGTTAATGTATGGTCCGGACATTATTTTTATGGATGCGCCACTGCACACAATCCTTTTTTTTTTTTTTTTTTATTTTTTAAATAAAACTTGTTATGAAAGGGCCCCCAAACTAGAAAAAAATTGTAGTGGAAGCGGTAAAATGTTTGGATTAACCACAAATGAAGCTAATAACAATGAAACCTACCTCGAGGCTACATGTAGTTATAATTGCAAGCAAATTAACCCACTATGAAGAGACGAACTTTTTCATTAACGACGACTATCTTTATTCTGCAAAATGGACAGACATTCCAACAACATTAACTCAGGCAAATTTTGTTAACAGAAGAGTAAGGAGTTCAAAATTAAATAAAAGGGGCATCCACGTCAGCCGGTAAATACATACTATGAATGACAGGGATGCCCTATTGTATACTTATGTAACTAAGTTTTCTTTACTTTAGTGGAATTACTACCCAATTTAATTTTCAACTCCGATATTGCAGATCAGCTGTTGCTCGATCGTACTTATGAGGTTAACACTTAGTTTGATATTTGGTTAATTGGGACGGCGTTTTCATATTTCAAAAAGTAAGGCTTGTAAAATATTTTATTCCTGGGTGCAGTTCTTGCTAAAAAACTGAAAGATTCTACAAACAGCTGCATCTATAGACAAATCCCAGCAAAACTAACTATTAAGGGATCTTTTCTATATGCCTCGTCTTAATGGTTTATATATGTAGGCCTGTGTGCTTATAGTATATATTCACTTTATTTTCTTTATACAATGTATACAGTTACTTCTGTTGATTTGAACTTTCCTCAGTAGATTATTATGTGCATGAATTATAAAATTTTAGAAAGGATTTTTCAAAGGTCTTGGTAATCAAGTAGTTTACTAGAACCTACGTAAGCGTAGCTAATATCCGACAACCCGAAATTAAGACTCGGCAGTTCAGTAGTTCGACGGTCCGATGTACATCCCTTATGTTATACTGTAATACTGTATTTCACTGAAATATATACATCGGGGACTTATATAAGAGTCTAATACAAATTTAAGATGAAAATCTACGAGACCTCTGTTTTGGGGAGGAGAGTTGGCAAAACACTAAATGACGCTTCTAAAACATAACTAATCATCGCTTTGAATTTACATGTTGGAGTCTTTGGTGGGTTAATGGCATTCATTTGTTTTAAGCACGGGCTGGAACATGATTTTATATACTATGCATACTAGTAGTTGTATGTCGAGTAATTTTTATGCAAAAGAAATTGGAATCGAACACCTAATAACTATAGGATAACATAGGCCGTGAAAGTGTCAAAACTTCTTAAGCTCAGTCTAATCGCAAAGTTATATCTACATATGGCCCGACGCATCGATAGCATATAGCGCAATTCACGCGGACACCAAAGTAATACGAAAACGTCACTCAACTTTGAACATTATACCTGAGTCGAACCAAAAGCACAAAACTCTCGTCTCTGTGGGACTGTCGGATTAGAGGATTGTTAAATTGAGGACGGTCTCATTATAGGTCTGATCACAGAAATTTCTATGATTTGATAAAATTGCACCTGATTTTTCTGATTTATCACATTCGACCGGGCAAGACTATTTATTTTTATTTATGTATGCGTTATAATAATCAATATTATGGTTACCAAATGATTATAATCGATATGTAACCTTGGATTAGTATTCGTATATATAATTTATTATGTCCCGCGTGTAACGTATCAAATATAGTTATATTTTAAGGACACGACACCTGGCCTGCAATACACTTAGAATCCTTATCTATTTACTTTATTATTTATAGCACTTATAATTTTGCCGAGGTCAAATACGACTTCACATTCTTGTGTTTACATTTAATTATATGCGGTCTGGGCAATAGATGCATATTTTGTTTATAACTTTTTCACTGTTGTAATGGCGATCGCTATTACGACAACGCCTAGGAATCGCATCACAAACTAAGGCAGATAATTGGAAAAACCTGTCTATAAAATTGAAAATAGACATGGCGAAAAGTTGGTATTTACATATTGTAGTTTGGTTTGTGATATTTTGTTAAACTACTGCATGTTCAAATTAAGAACAATATAATACAAAAATAGAATCATTTAACTGCAGATTCTAACTTCATATAAGATAAAAATAGACTTAGATAACATACAATTTTGTAAATTAAAAAAAAAAACAATTTATTGGAATATTTAAAAGTATCAAAGATATATTAAAAATGAAGATGTGGTTAGAGAAATACACAAAGTTAAGTATAATTTCACATGTAAAAACAT